GCATAAATCACCATAAATTTTGCAAAGTAAATGTACAATTTCCATTTAATAGTCGTTCTTTAAAAGAAACCTAGTTGTTCAGTGAGAAATTGTCTCGCCAAGGCTTTTAAATGCCCATACGTAAGAACAACGCATACCTCAAGGCTAAATTTGAAATACTTAAGTTATACTTGAATAAGAAACATTCTCTCAAAATTTTAGCTTTCCAACTTTTCTGATTACCGAGTTAGCAATTTTTCCGCCAAAACCTTCACATACCCGTACTTGTGTACTCCACGTGCTTGGAAAGCTAGATTTGAAATTTTTAAGTTGCACTTGGACAGGGAAGATCCACCTAAAATTTCAGCCTTTCAGCTCTTCTGGTTCTGAGTTAGTAATTTTCCTGCAGAAACTTTCATACCTCCTTACGTGAGTACTACGCATAGCTTGGGCCTGAATTTGAAATATCAGAATTGTACTTCGATAGGGAACATTCCCCCAAGATTTCAGCTTTCTAACTTTCCTGGTACCCAAGTTAGCAGTTTTCCCCTTAGAACTTTCACACGCCCTTACATGAGTACCATGCTTACTTGGGGGCTGAATTTGAAATCTTTAGCTAGTACATGCGCAGAGCATATCTCTATAAAGTTTCAGCCCCTTAACTCATGTGGTTTCCGAGATCGCTTTCCCGCCAAAAAATTTGTATATTTTTCCATAGCGCCCGTACGCGGCACCCAGGCATCCGAGGGGGGTGAAATTAAAACGGGAGGGTTGTGCATGATATGGGCAAATACTCCCGAAGTTTCAGCTTTCTAGCTTTTCTGATTCTCGAGTTGAAAATGGGTGACAAAAAGTGCGGACATACAGACATACACACACATACATACACACATAGCCTATTCCCAGTATGCGTTTTCGCAATTTATATATATGCAAAAACGCATAAAAATACCTCAATGAAGTGCAGCAATTTGTGCAGTCGGGCACTGTTGTGGTACTGGTGCTGCCTCATTCGTTGAAGCACCGCTGGTGGCAGGGGTGTTGTGCCCGCGTTCTCCAGCACCGACAGAGCAAATTTCAAATCTGCCTCACATTCGCGTCGTAAAGTCTGCAGTTTGCATGACTGATCAGTTTACAATAGTGGCACTTTTTTAAACGCACTGTTTGCCGCTGGACTTAAGTGTTTTGTGTCAACGAGTGGTACTGGCCAGAAATGCCTGTATTTAAGAGAAGGGCGCAAATGTGTGGCGCAAGCAGCTAGTGCATTCTAAAGCAAATATCATCCGACAGGTGAACCTGGTTGAACTGCGATGGGCACATAGCTGTTTTATGGTTTCTCACTGCGTAACCAAATAATAGCTTCAGTAAATTTTT